CGTCGCCACAGACTGCGCACGACGACGCGAGAACACCGCGCGGATGAACACGTCCTGAAATAATACATTCACATTACTAAACATCACAATACACATGACAATATTATTAATAAAATAATGTTTATAAAAATATTTCACCTGGACTTGTTCCTGTCGCACTAAATAACTCCAAAGACGTCTCGCAGGCGCTGCGCTGTATAACGCGGAGTTAAACGGAGTGTTGTGTTTCTCCAACAAACATCTGTAACGATATTACATTTTAGTTAAAAGCAAACAGAGCTGGGGTCAAAAAAATAAAAAGAATGTTCTGCTAAAATATGTTTTAAACACAATAAGTGACATATGGCGCACGCTGGCGTGTGAACGTACTGTAGGAACATACATGATTCTTTAGCAGATTACATTGTTTACCCGTCGTAAATTTAGCGAATTATTTCGACTTATAAATGTAAAACTAGCTTCATCGTGTAGCTGGGTGTTACCTGTACTTGTTGATGGGCGGCCCGGCAGTGACCTGGTCGGGGAAGCAGCCGGGGATGTAGTCGGAGGGTGGCGCGCGCGCCTCCAGCGACTCCGTCAGCTGCTGCTGCCACTGGTCCACGCGCCGCAGCGCGCCGTGCACCATCGGACTCGTCGTTGCCAGCTCTAACAAAGTAAAGAAACATTATGAAATATCTATACTTCTAAATCTATATGATACTAATAATAAATGAGAAAAGATGTGTATTTTTGGATTGTTGTATGTTTCTGTGTATGTATAAATCCAAAATTACTGGGCTGATTTCAAAAACACTTCTTTAAAAGTTTTGACCACCAAAACTGTTATCACTGTAACATATACCTTACATTTTTTTATTTCCACACTAACGAAGTCGCGAGTAATAGTTAACTAAATAAATGTAAACGCTTAGACTATGTTTGAACAATAATTGGCTTAGATCTGCCAGAAATTACTAAAACAATATTACTACAATAAAGGTTATTCCTTCGATATTTTACTGACGTGTGAGGTATGACGTCACGTTGTTACCTGACATCTCGATGCCGCACAGCTGCAGGAACTGCTGCAGCTTGGTCTGCGCGAGCCGCAGCACGGCCACGCGCATCACGTACCACGAGTACGAGTCCGGCTCCGAGTGCTCCATGTTCGCGCCCTTGTGTCTTTTCTCACTTCTAAATAAAGTTACTTTTACTAACCAATAAGGAACATAATCGTAAACCAGTAGAAACTGTATGATTTCTAATCGGTGTATTTGAGAGATTCTATATATATAGGGTAAACATATGTAGTTGACACTTCATTTGAAATATTTCTCATAATCCCGATAAAGCTACTTGGTGTCCGATAGCCACAATCACAAACAAATAATTCTAACACAGAAGCGTCTCGGCGTGTCAAATTTGATATTGAGATGTTACCGTACAAAGAATTTACGGGTGAAAAAAAAATGTTATTACCTATGACTAGTCTACATATTTCTTAAATATCTTTGATTTAAAAAACTGTTGGTCATGACGACAAGAATTTTATAGGCTTATCTTTATATAAAAGTATCATATATAACAATGTTTTGTACTTATTAGTGTTGGTGTCGAAGATGTCATCATCTTCAGGTTCGCTGCCGCTCTCCTCGGCGTCCTCAGCGCCCGACTCTGCTGAATCGTAGTCGTTGTTCTCGGGATCTTGCTCCTGCGTTGGCTAAATCATTTCAAACAATTTTAAAAATTGTAAACTAGATTAATTAAATTAAAAAAAATGTAAGTAGTCCATGCGTTTTTCCAAACTTTTTACATCTGTGCCATATTTCATGGAAGTCCGTTAAGTCGTTTTAAAGATAGTAACAAACATCCATCAATCCATCCATCCATCCAAACTTTAGCAGTTGCAATATTACGGATTGGAGTAAAAGTGTTGGAACATTTATACGTAAGCTTAGTATTTATTGTACCTTAGTCAATAGGAAGGTGAGTATGCTGCACTGGGGTGGCACGAACTGCTCCCTGTACGTGGGGCGGCCCTCCTGTATGTGCTTGGGCGCGGCGGGCCCCATGCCCAGCAGCCGCATGTGCAGCAGCGCGCGCTTCTCACGCAGCGACGACCACACAGACGTGCCCTCCGCACGCTCCACTAACTTCGGCTGGAAATTGATATATGTTTTTATAGTTGTTTGGTACTTTCTGTAAATTAAATAAATGCCATCTAGGGGCAACAATAGTTATTCCATTTCGTTAATAACAGGATCAAAATATACGAACAATTTCTATTAATAAGACAACCATGCTATGAGTTAAATTGAAAACCCATTCTTAAAGAGACACTTGGAAATTAAAGTTTTAAAGAAAACAAATTCAAATGTTTTAATATAAATATCATTTTTATTTACAAAATATGACAAAGAACATAGATTGAGAGCAAAGATTGCAAACGACTTTTGATTATTCTTAATTTTCTAGTAATACATTAATTAAAGTCTTTAGGAGAACAAAAA